TAGTTGTTAACTATTGGAGGGTGAACATTAGTTGTTAACTATTGGAGTGTGAACATTAGTTGTTAACTATTGGAGAGTTTATCTGCAATACACTGACTACTGGAGGATTACAGCATGAATGTGCATGACCCAGTTCACACAAACATTCATGTGACTTTGTTTTAAATTGAAATAACCCCACAGCAACATGTTCTTGTCGTGAGAGGTGACTAAATGCATCGTGGAACGCACACGTATACCCGTGAAGATCCGGGGTAGAATAGGTCTTCAGCAACCCATGCTTGCCGTAAAAGGTGACTATATGCTTGTCGTAAGAGGCGATTAACGGGATCGGGTGGCCAGGTTCGCTGACTTGGTTGATGCATGTCATCGGTCCCAATTGCGTGGATCGATGCTCATAATGTCAATCACTGGATTGTCGGTCCAGACTCGGTTATTTACAGACCGCCCTCATATAGCTGGAATATTTCTGAGCGTGGCGTAACAACAAACAAACAAACAAACAAAAGCACTCGTATATCTGGTTGGTAGCGTGTTGCTGTATCGCGACAGCGTGATATATTGACTGAATCTTTTTTATAATATCGATCACTTCTTTGTCTGGTCTAGAAACGATTTATTATAAGACCGCGGCCATAAAGCTGGAATTGTCGACTGTGGTGTTAAACAACAATAAACAAAACGCTCTTGTGAAAAGAGTTTACAGAACATTTCTTGCATCGTCATCATATGCTTTTGCAGTGTTATATATTGTGTGAGATCTTTGATAAAAGGCATTTGCGTTTGTATAAACATGTGTTACACGTGTCTCTATTATCAGTTCTATTTGCTCGCACGTATTGTACATATTGACAAAGGTGATTTGTTCTTGTCATGTCTAAACTGTTTCTGGCAATGGACATGAATATCAATGTGATGCATGAATTGTGTACCGACATACTGGAAGCTTTCCCGCGTATTACTTTTGTTTGTTAGTTGTTGAACGCCGCACACAGCAATATTCCAGCTACACGACGGCGGTCTGTAAATAATCGAGTCTGGACCAGACAATCCAGTGATTGACATCATGAGCAACAATCCACCGTGTATTACTGTCCGATGTGACGTTATTTCATCAGTGAAGAGTTCTCTGAGGACTTTGTGTCTGTATTAGCTGATCTGGCATGAGATACCTTTGACTTGTGGAAAGTTGTTGATAACAAACGCTGATTTTGTCTTCTGTTCTTTACGGTAATCTTGTTTCCAACCCTGAGCGGGGACCAGAAACATGCAGTTGAACCCAAATCACTTCTATGTGTCACCATGCCTCTCAGGAAAGTTATTAAATCTCACTTTCACTACACCACTTTTTGTGGCAATTTCGTTAATGTACCTATAGTGAATGAGTATGGTTTTACGCCGCTTTTAGCACTATTCCAGCAATATCACGGCGGGGGACACCAGAAATGGGCTTCACAGATTGTACCCATGTCGGGGATCGAACCCGGGTCACCGGCGGGACGAGCGAACGCTTTAACCACTAGGCTACCCGACCGCCCCAATGTACATATAGTACCTGTACAAACCGAGGTGGAGGCTGACATGCATGCAGCAAGAATGTTTGAAACAGATTATGTCATTGTTTTAAGACAATGGTCTGTTGTTACCCAACCACCATCACCACATGGCCATGCTTACGGTCACACAATTATATGATTATAATGAAATTATCATCATCAACGTTAGTCGCGTGATTGTGTGTTTAATGGAAAATAATTGAGAAAAAACGGGAGCCAAAATGATGGTAGACGGACTATATATTCAACTGCATCTTATCATGGGAACAAAAGACCAACTTTAAATAAGATTATAAAAGAATCTTGAAACTCGATTATAATCACACCGCTTTTTGTATAAATCAATACAAATTGTATCTAAGCGGATGGAAATGAAATATGATTGTCCTAGCAAGTGTGGTTGATGGGAAAGAGATGACGGACAACACAGGATGAACGTTACACCCATTGACCTTATTGAAATGAACAGTTACGTTATTAAAAGTCATACATTTCTACCTTAATAGTTAATGGGATGGGAATAGGAACCCACCGGAGATCATACATTTCCCTGGTAGCAGCTACCTCATAACTGTGTGTCGCAGATAAATAGCTGAATCATTTATGATGAAGATATTGAATGATAAGACGTTAACTGTGTTTGGCATGAAACCGTAAGTGCTCTGAACAAAGAAAACAAAGAACATCGGATTGGCAGCAGAAAATACACACACACACACTTGATATTTCCTGAACTTGGAACGCTGCAAGCAGACAAATCGACCGCAATTGTCTGTTAATTGGATTAACATTTGGATGTATAAATTTTGTATTTAATTCATGTTTTGTATGAAGTTACATGTATTCCAGTATACATCCATTGTGATTTTTAGTATCGTTAAGTCACAAATGAATCGATTAATCTTTCCTGTCGCTTATACTGTACAGATTGATATTTTGCAGTTTTAACAAAATTATATTCGCATAAACTGCGATAAATTATCAAATATGTACAAAAAGAGGAAGACTTTTGAAAAAGCCTATTTTGGACTTGTAATAACACTACAGGTATGGCCACACTGTGTCGCATAAGTTGATTTTAGATGTTGTCATTGCGTGTTTTCTAATATTTGAACATGATATATAGGGGAAACCTGTTGAGACAGATGGAGAAACACTCATCTAGAGTCACGGCGTTGCTCATTGTTGAATGTGCCCCTTTTACACTCATCTTAGCCATACTTATTTGGTCATCTGATTTGTCTAAAAGTGAAACAATGAAATGCATTTGCCAGTCACGTGTAAGGAATTTTAAAGACCATTTCAAGACCACTTCACAGTGTTAATGCTCAAGAGACACATTTGTATTTTTCACGAACAATTCTGAAATACTGACAACATCCTACGTACGTATGTAACGATGCCAAAACGAAACATATTAATACAAAAATCTATGAAAATTGAGTGAGTGAGTCAATGTTCTTGAGTGCCGCATCCAGCATTAACGCAGATAAATCAGACACTGAAAGCATAAATACCGCTCTCAAGTTGGCTTCATCACAAGGATGGGATACTGCGGACAACAGGGCACTTCAAAACACTAAAAGACACCAAGAGAGATAAGAAAAAGAGTATACGGGTACAAAAGCTTATCTAATAATGATAAATTGAAAACAAGCCATTCCGCCGATAAGGAATAATACTTTAGTGAGTGAGTGAGTTGGGTTTAAAGCCGCTTTGAACAGTCTTCCAGTTATATCGTGGCGTGTCAGCTTAATGAGGGAGGAAAGCCGAAAGTGATGCAGGTCTCAGACGTTTATCACTTCGGTGAAACCCACGACAACGGGTATGGTGCTGACAAATCTAGAAACATAATCGGGGATTCGAACCAACAATTGTAGATTTTTGGTAAGCCCAAGGGACGCAACTCTGCACAGCGAATCGCGGCGCCTCAGAGGACTGGGCCACCCGTGCTCCCGAATATTACTTTAAGTTACAAGAATGACAACAATTGCAAAGTGCTCTTTTCATGAAATTTCAATTTTCTGTGCGATAAACATCATCACTGAGTTTTTATCACGTTTGATCACAACAGCACTCCTGCATGCGACGGCGGTAAAACAATCTGGTCTTCACAAAAGGATAGCATTGTAGATTTAGCACGACTAAGGGAGGAAACTCTGCCCATTGATTTGCTTCGTCTAAGACAAATTCTCCGCGTTTCCCCGAGAATAAAAGACGTGAAAGACAACAAATACAATATATGCATCATTTAGTTACAGAGGTAATATAATTCAAATCAATTTCAACTCCTAGAATCTTAAATGGCTTTATATAATGTAGAACTACAGATTGAAATGAATCAAATGCAATAACGGAACTGTGGAAAGCCAAGCAAACTTTTCAAAGACAACTATACCCAAACTCACCCGTGTCAACTAAGAAAATACCCAAGTACTAGTCCTTAGTAAAGGGCCGAAAATTCACGATTTTCTGAAGAAAAAGGGTTTGTGTCAAATTACTGGATCTAATACGGCATGTGGAAAAAAGTAATATGGGGCTTAACGTTGCGTTTAAGATTATTGCACATATTTAGCTATGCACATGTATGTGTGTGTGTGCGTGTGCGTGTGCGTGTGCGTTTGCACGTGTGTGCGTGAGAGAGTCCGGACTTATGCCAGTTTTATAGTGCTAGCTCACGGAGATACCATGCCACAGTTTAACATTGATACCCCACTTAGACAGAGAAAACGGACCCCGAGCCGACCATTCCTTGTTTTAGCCCCTTAGTGCCCAGTGTCAGGCATAATACAACAAGTACCATCACTTAAAGGTACAATGTATGTAAAAAGGTATAAGATAATAAGGCATGATACAGGTAAAGACAATAAAGTACGTGACTTGTGATAAAACTTTAATTTTGAAAAACATCGCACCTTTTGTGTGTGTTATGCTGTGCGAAGGCACAAACATACTTCCATGATTTCAGAGATTGATCAACAAAATGTCCTTATCAACAACACAGTGAGAAACATGAGAAACACCAGTCTTAATGTACGGTGATGATTCCAGATAGGCATATACATCAATAATGCATTGATACAAAGTATTTGAGAACATTGATGGCCAGTCAGTGTATACTTACGACAAATATACTGCTGTAATCATTCAGTATCATCGCCAGAATATCAACATACAACCGTTCAATATTCGCTGGTTATAGGTTAATAAAAGCATTTACGAATACCTCGCCTGTGATGAGCTTTGCGTTCACGATATTACAAGGTAAATTATACATATAACAACTCCCATGAACATCTTTATTGTCTACGTGTTTATCAATCGGCACTCTATTCATAATAACATATATACCTTTGATACCGATCTACATACAAATTTAAATAATATGAACAAAACCAAACGGTTCTTGACATGGAACTAATGTAGGACAGTTTCCATTCTTACCTTTCTACCTGTAACCGCATCTTCACGACTGTTTATTCCTCCCTGTGACATCACACTACACTCACGCATTCAGGTACAGTTAGCTAAGGGCAACACGTCGGCCGCGGCCTGCATCGAGTATTGATTGGACTCTGTGGTAGCAGCAGTCAATGACTGGTCTCTAACTGGGTGTGGGACGGATGGGCTTGTTCACGATTATTATGTAAATATGACATATGTAAACGTCTCGTGGACGTTTGTAATAGTGTGGACATCAATTCACTGTTTAGCTGCTGATGAGGGCTCCAGGTGCTGGTGTTGCTTCATATTAAAGACATTTCATTGTTGACGCCCGGAGCATGATTCATCACTACGATGTTGTACGACAGTAATGTGTTTCCAGTGCGTTGTTTCTGTTTTATCGCATCCATATTTCATATTTATCTTTATATAATTTAAACATTAGGAAATTGGCTCTGTTAATTGAAGCAGAACTGCACTTGGTTTAAACATATTTATATTTCATCACATTGCATGAAATGTGGATTGGTAAACAAGCAACAATGCTTATATTAATACCGCTCCTGATGATTACATATTATATATACATTGGCAGTTTCAATACATAAATAAAAAAATATTTCAAAAATACAAATATCATGTAACAATATGGTAGAAGTGTATGATTAATGTACAGCTCATAGTTGGCATCACGATAAGTAAAGAGTTACTTCCTTAAACACTTTTGCGGGGGCACGAGTGGTCCGTTTAAGGCGCCGCGATTCGCTGTGCAGAGTTGCGTCCCTTGGGCAACCTATGATTGTGGGTTCGAATCCCGATTACGTTTCTAGGTTTGTCAGCACCATACCCGTGTTCCTGGGTTTCACCGAAGTGGTAAACGTCTGGGCTTTTCTCCCACATTAAGTTGACACGCCGTGATATAACTGGAATGCTGTTAAAAGCGGCGTTAAACTCAACTCACTCACTAAACACTTTCGCACTTAACATAATCGAGTTCAAATCTGTTAGATTTAGTAATAATCATATAAACGGATTCAATGATGTTAGTGTTAGTCACCTTATTCAGATTTGGGTTACCATAAAGAACTGTTTGCAAGTTATATCCACGGTACTAAAAATGCATATCGTGACTAATATTTGCATAATTTTTACACGTAAACAGATAGTGAGTAGCATCTATGTCTGTTAACCTTGTCAGCGTTTAAATCACTACACCCAAGCCTGAGGCGACAATGAATAACTTGGCACATTCAAAATCAAAGATTCAGATCGAAGTGAATGTCGGAAACTATTGGGACTTATGTCAAAGTCTTAAATTCATTTAGAGAACGAGCATTTTTGTATTCCTCTGGTAACGAATACCAAACTCTTGACCGTGTCGGGTAAAAAGGATTTAGCATAGTTATATGTCCTGTAAATTATTACAGTTTCTGGGACTGCAACTACTAACATCTGACAGTGTTCCAGGTATTAGCTCCGAAAGATATTCAGGTACATGTTGATAATACATTTTTTAAAAATTACCAATTTAAAATACTTTCTTCTTTCTGCCAAAGGTCGAAAGCCAGTTTCCTGATAAATTGTTTCATGATTCGTACCGCGAACAGCGCCCCATTTGGTTCTCAACGCATCTTGTTCCCTTATTTCAAGTAACAGTGCCTGTTTGTTCGTACGATTGTCCCTAAACATGGCAACAATAGTCGAAATTTGGTCTTATCAAGGATTTATAAATATTTTATACTGTTTATCTTGACAGACGATATTAAAAACCTCTCAGTTTGCCATTGGGCTGATCTTTTGGACGATATAATGGATATTGACTTTCCAAGTACAATCGTTTTGAAGTATTGCACCAAGATGTGATTTTGGACTTCTTGGATTGGAATATATAACGTCGGTTTATCTCCGTCGGTTTATCTCTGTCGTTTTTTTCTCAGTTTTGTGAGAATTAAACTTGACCTGTCACCTGTTTGCCCAATTTGATATTAAACAAAAGTCATGAAACAGTTACATTTTGATCATTAACAATAACATATACATAAGTATCGTCAGCAAACATGACTATGAATGCCTTCAACAATATCATGAATGCGAAAAAAGAAACAGCAACGGTCCAAGGTGTGAGCCCTGGGGAACTCCAGCTAAAACTGATTCTTAATTTGAATAACAGTCTTTCATGACTACGTTCTGGGTTTGGTCCCCTTAATAATTTTGAAACCAATCTAACAGGTTTCCGTAAATACAATATGAGATGAAGTTACAAATTATTCCTTTGTGTCAGACTTTATCAAAGGCTTTACTGATATCACAAAAGACACCTCGGATTTCCTTTCCTTTATCTAAAGCCTTAGCAGTGAAATTATATAAATATGTTAAATGATTAGAAGTACGTTACAGCTTTTGTAATGTTTAACATCATGGAAGTGATGTTTGTTTGTTGCTTAACACCCACACAGCAATATTCCAGATTCATGATGCCGGGGGCGGTCGGGTAGCCTAGTGGTTAAAGCGTTCGCTCGTCACGCCGAAGACCCGGGTTCGATTCCCGACATGGGTACAATGTGTGAAGCCCATTTCTGGTGTCCCTCGCCGTGATATTGCTGGAATTATTGCTAAAAGCGGCGTAAAACCATACTCACTCACTCACTCACTCACTTATGATGCCGGCTTGTAAATGATCGAGTCTTAATCAGACAATCGAGGGACTGATATCATGAGCAACGTCCCAAGTCATCGTACGATTGACACTTAATCAACAATGTAACGGAGACCACCAATTCCATTTAGTCACTGTCTGTGAAGATCCGGGGTAGAATAGGTCTTTTGCAACCAATGCTTGCCGTAAAAGGCGACTATGCTTGTCGTAAGAGGCGACTAACGGGATCGGATGGTCAGGCTCGCTGACTTGGTTGATGTCACCGATCCCAATTCCTTAGGTCGATGTCTATGATATCAATCAGTGGATTGTCTGGTCCAGACTCGATTATATACAGACCGCCGTCATATAGCCGGAATATTGCTGAGTGCGACGTTAAACAACAAACCAACCAACCAGCATTTAGTCGCCCTTCACAACAAGCATGTTTGGTATCACTTCTAACCCGGAGTCCCCGCGAGGTCATCGGTTCCCCGTGAGACCCGTCCTGAAAAAGCTGCACTGGCTACCTGTGAGACTCAGGATCGTGTTCAAGCTGATCATGTTTGTCTACAAATCGATCCATGGGCTATCCCCAGTATACCTCCAGGAACTCACTGCCCTTTACCAACCTGGCCGAACACTGAGATCTGCAAACAAACTACAGCTTGCTGTTCCACCAACCAGCAGAACAACATATGGCGACAGAACCTTCCGAAAAGCAGGTGCAACTCTATGGAATGCACTGCCCACTGATGTCAGGGGATCTGAAGATGTCAACACCTTTAGATCAAAACTCAAGACCATCCTCTTCAAAAGAGCATACGACTGAGCGCTCTTAAGCAGGCAGTATGTCTGGATAAGTAGCGCTATATAAATGTGTAATTTGAAAATTTGAAGAACTTGGTTATCTGGAAACCTCTACAACCGTTGGGAACATCTATATACAATTAAAGGTATAATTATTAGTACATTATTTACATGAATCAAGAAATATAATAATACGGACGTTTGCACAAGGAACTGTATCGTCTGGATTTAGGAGATTTGACGACAAAAATAGCTACTGATTCCGTGGCATTTCATTGGCTAACCAAGCAATGTTTTTTGCGTTCCATAAACCAAAATATAATAATAGGTCATGCTCACAAACGGACTATAGTTTCCTGATCATAGAATGGTCGGGGTTTGGGGTGCATTATGCGCTGATGGATGTCACTGATTTCGTACTGTTGTCTTCATTTTTGTGTGTTAATGGATAAATAAGCAGTCCGTGAAGCTACTATTGATGACATATTTGTTTGTTAGAAATGACTTCAATATGTTATTACGTTCACACACCGCGGTATTTACGTTTATACGTCTATAAATGCACAAATATAAGTCAATTCATTAGTAAATGCGATCTTTAGTTTTTCTCTCAATTGCAACAGTACATCAAGATAACCACTATAATAATAATACTATTTCGTAGTTCTTGTGGTTGAGAAGTGTTGTTTTTTTTTTGTTTAACGCCGCACTCAGATAATGGCCCTGTCACACAATAACGTATAGCAGTAAGGTGTGGCAACGTATGAGAATGTTTGCCGAAACACCGGCAAGGCTGAAACACGCTATGAATAAGTAAGGTGTAAGTTGTATACGTTAAAAGCCCGCTGGTATTTTCATGATTCAAATAAAACTGTTTTCTATGACACGGCACTGTTATTAAACGTGTTTCTAACGTTTAGCTAGCGTATTTGCACCGTAGTACCAGCGTTTTGTGGGTTTCTGTATATATTGGGTCCCGGTCAGTACCTCCTCATCACTGATTGAGACGTTGATGGAGACATCATAGAAGATCGAGGTGAAGGATCCTGAGAGGCTGCACCTAGAAAAAATACTCCAACATCAGCATGACATCCTCCAATTGACACTTTACCAGATCTTGCTCGGCCCCTGGCAGGTTTCTTTTTGAGAGGCATCTTGATGATGTTGACAGAGCGAGGACTACTGCTTGAGTGAAGTAGTTTGATGAATGGGTGTACACTACTAGTTATACTACTGCTGGACCCGTTTTGGGCACCTTTCCCCTACGCATCAGCGCGCTAGTGATACGTTACTCATACGCTGGGCATACGCTGGCCATACGTTGTACACACCAGACACACGCTACCAATACACTTTTATACGCAGTCATAAGTTATGTATAAGTCAGTGATACGCTACTAATACGTTTGACATGCGTTACATATACGGTGAATTCGTTATGTATACGCTATTTGTAGGCCAAAATCACGGTGTTTCGGTGAAAGCTCGACGTATGACAGCGTAGTCTTATATGTTGTAGTGTGACAGGGCCATTATTCCAGCTGTAAATAATCGAGTTTTGACCAGACAATACAGTGACTGACATCATGAACATCGATCCACGCAATTGGTATCGATGACATGCATCAACCAAGTCAGCGAGCCTGACCTCCCGATCCAGTTAGTCGCCTCTTACGAAAAGCATAGTCGCC